ATAAAAACACATAAGAAAAAATCAAAGACACTCACGTCACTATTAGCTCAGATGTTTGACAAATTTCTTGAGTCATAGAAAATCCAAGAAATTTTCAGACTTACCAAGACACCTTTTGTTGTGGCAGATACATCAAAGAATCAGAACAACCCATATCTCCAAAACAAAAACACCAAGAAGTATTAAATATTTATTATTAGAAATAAATTGGGAATTCGACAATGATGGAGAAGCATAAGATTGTAGAGGAGGGTTTTTTGTTATAAGAAACAAAGGAAAATGTGGTGACGGAGGAGTGCATGTTGTATTAATAAATAAATTCTGAATGGAATGTAGACTTTTCTCACCTCCACATGTTATACATTTACTTGGTGTGCCTATGAGGCATAATGAGACAATAATAAGGCTAAGCATCTTGACTGCTAGACAAAAACAAAAATAAAAAATATATAATGTAAAATCGAATTAAAGATGAAAAACAAGGCAAACTAATTATATCAATTGATTTGTATTGAAAAGAGAGGAAGATACATACAAAATATTGGAAAGTTATGAAAATTCGTGATAAGAGGAAACAAGAGTAAGAGTTTTGATTTTTGAGAAATAAGAATGTTTGAGGATTTTGAGATTAAGAGTTTAAAATTTTATATTTAAGAAGCTCTCTTATGGTTTGTAGATATATATCTACCGAAGTTCAAGGTGAGTCGGGCTTGGATTTTAGGCCTCTCACTTTCTCTTTTTAAATCAATTTATATATTATAAAATTATTTATATTTAAAAAAAATTCAGGAAAAAATTGTTGTTTTGGCCTTTCACATTCTGGTTTATAAGGGATTGGGGCTCCATTAATCCAGAACTCATGAACTGAGATATGAGCATTTGCCAAGTATTATTCATGTGAGGATTCAAATTCGATATTCCCCGAATATCGTCCTTTGCAGGAATGACTTTAACACTGGAGCTCAAGTGCTTGATAAAAAAATTGTTCTTTAAGTATGATTTATATATTGAAAATAAAAAACTTTCTAAATCAATTAGCATACTTAATTCTTTATTGTATTTATGAAATTACTAATTATTTTGAAAGTTTTATTTCTTAAAATAAATCATTTGATTAATTATATTATTTATTTCTTTCTAAAGAAAATATATATCTTTGAGTTTACTTTGTATATAAAAAAAATCATTTTTTTTAGTAAATTACTATAAATTGTTTATTATGTTTAAAAAGATAGACTATATCGTATACCATACATTGAAATGAAACCAAATATTTAATTAATTTGTATTTGTTAAGTGTTTTTGGAGGAAAAAATTAAATCTATAAGCATGTTCTATATTTTGCAAATAAATAAAATTTTTAATCAATTAGTTTATTTCAATTTTTATTATATTTCCAAAAAATTAGACTATTTTCTAGGTTAAATATATTGAAAACGAAATAAAAATTTTAACCAATAAATATTTTTAAATAAAATTTAATATCTTTGAGTATGCTTCAAATATTGAAAAAAATTAACTTATAACCAATTAAAATATTTAACTATTGATAGTTTTTTTTTTAAAAAAGAGATATTATTTTGTCTTTTTTTTGTAAATTGAAAGTGCAATCAACTTTTTTAATCTATTAGTATTATATATTAATGATATTTTTTCCTTTTTAAAAATATTTAATTAAAACATATTTCTCTTAACACGTGCATTTGTTGCATTAGACTGAATGAAAAATATGTTTACTTCTGAGATTTGATTTTAATATAATTAATTTAAATTAATTATGAATTGATTTATATATGAATATATTAAAATAAAAAAGATTAGGTCTAACTTATAGTGTTAAGTTAGTTTAATCAATATTAATTTTGATTTTATAATTAGAAAGATATAATTTAATATGTATATTTATAACTAATTTTATTTTCAGTTTAGGTCCTTATTTAAATTTTTGTTGGTAAAATATTTTAATTATTATTACCTTTAATTTAAAAAATTACTTTGAACAACAGCGTAGAGAATTATGTTCTTATATAATTAATTTCTGTTAATTTAATTATTTATTCTTTTAATGTTTTTATTTTAATTTTTCTTAGGTGATTAATTTCTTTATTTTAATTCTAAAAATAAAAAATATAAATATTGACTAAATTTTTTATATAATAACATTAAATAAAATTATAGTATATAATAAATATTTATAAAATAAAGTTCCGCTTGATGGAATAAAATGAACATAACAGTATAAATCCGACTAGAATAGAGTAAAGTAGAGGGGATCGGAAGATAGATTTGATTTCATTATTTATGTATATTTATAATTTGACACAATAATGATTGAATAAATGAAATAGGATGGAATACATTTCATTATATTCAACTCTTTTTTATCCTCTTTTTAACAATAAATAAAACATAGTCTAAGAGTCTGGAAGCATGATTACTAGCTGGTACTCTATTTATTTTTTAATGTAATTTGTAAGTGTAATAAAATGGTTAAATAAAGATAAAAATTTGTGCCATTAAACTCTAATGGTAACTAAAGAATAATACAGACAATAAATTTAGACACTAAACAAATCCTAAGAACATCGGTGTAAGGGCTAAAGAATAAGTAAATATAATCACTTTACTCTAATAATAATATTGTAATTTTTATATGTTACCCAACCAATTTTATATGTACTAAACCATTCTATAAACATCTCACTTTAATTATTAAGTTATATGTAATTATCATAAACTACTAAAATGAGTTACATAAACTAGTAAATTTTAATTATGCAAATATGATTCGACATTCAAAATTAAAACCAAAAAATAGAAATAGTTTATATCATGTTTAATTGATACTAAATATTAAAGTATACTATATTTGAATGTGATGGTTGACGTGGTATATAAACCCAAGAATACGAACATCCCATAGTCTAAAATAAGCTAAAACTCCATAAATAAAGACAAGTGAATAACTAATCACCACTAGAATAACAAAAACACATTAGAAAAAATCAAAGACACTCACGTCACTATTAGCTAGATGTAACACCCACACATATATATCTAGAATAATATGCAGTGATGTTAATTATGGTATAAAGAAACATACAAATAGCAAAAAAAGACAAGAATTTAATATGTATACAACACAATTCTAAAATCGAACGTGTAAAATAAACTTGTCTTCTACATTTCACAGCGGAATGATAACTTCTACAAGGTCTTACTGCCTTATGTTCGTTTGCAGTCTTCAAAACTTACCATCTAGCAAATCTACCTTTATGACCTGATCTTGAAAAATAATAAGAGGATTGGAGTGAGATTACTAAATCTCAGTGAGTTCCCCTATCTTATGGGTTCACTTGATTCTACAGGGTACATACATAAAAAAAGATTCACCGTGAATCTGGGTTTTCTCTCACGGTTGGATACAAGTAGGCAAAAACGGTACACGACCATTGGAAGTCCCATAACTTACCAATGAGGCAATAAAAAACATATAATCAAATACAAACAATTATGCAGACCCGTACCCATATATGAGGAATCCAGGAGTAAGTTAGTTGCCCCTACCCCAGTTACGCTTTCACACCCTCGGTGAGTAACACCCTTGCATCGCATCAAGAGAATTGCACCAGCCACAACACGATGAATCAGATCAGTCCTAAATGGAATTCAATTCGAGACGAGTTACAACAGTGACATCACCTAAGTGGCGTTACGACCCCATCAATCAAAAATACGCATGTAATCAGAAACATGAGTGCAAAAACACCATCTTGACAACACGAGCCCCCCGGTTGGACAGTCTAATGATCTTGCCTATATGGCACCATTAGAGGTGAGTTTAGCCGTGTTATGATATTAATCTAATTGACATCATAACCCCACCATACCAAACATGCGATGTAATTAACAGTTGGTGGAACTCCCCACAAGGACCCACACAAGCACATCACAATGGTAGCCAAAGTGTTATGACATACCAAGCACATAGGATTGGCCTAAACTGGACGCCATGGTCAGATTTTCCCTGTCAGTACTCTATACAGTCTAAGTCTTGAGCGATTCATGTCCTAGCATCCGGGCCTACTCTGATTCAAGTATACACACATATAGAAGCACACGGGATTGGCCTAAACTGGAGGCTACGTCCAGGTTTGCCCTGTTAGTACTCTGTTTCAAGCGTACACACATATAGAAGCACATAGGATTGGCCTAAACTAGACGCCATGTCCAGGTTTGCCCTATCAGTACTCTGTTTCAAGCATACACAAGCACAATCAAGCCACACAGGCAAATACATCAAAATCGTCCACTCTGGAACAAACTAGAGATCACGATATTCACAAAACATCTCATATCAGATAATCATACATTTTATCATAAGCATGCATTATCATTCATCTTCATAGAATAAGTGATTAAGTATTCATAGCATAACATCTTTCATAATGTATTTCTCAATATTTGTATATAACAATCATTAATATCATTCATAACATAATCGAATTAATGATTGTTATCTACAAATATTGAGAAATGCATTATGAAAGATGTTATGCTATGAATGCTTAATCACCTATTCTATGAAGATGAATGATAATGCATGCTTATGATAAAATGTATGATTATTTGATATGAGATGTTTTGTGAATATCGTGATTTCTAGTTTGTTCCAGAGTGGACGATTTTGATGAATTTGCCTGTGTGGCTTGATTGTGCTTGTGTATGCTTGGAACAGAGTACTGACAGGGCAAACCTGGACATGGCAGTTCCACCTATCACGTTATTGTGAAAGACTAGATCGGCCCGTTCTGCCATAAGTACCTCCATATTCCACTCAGTGTTATTTGGTTCGATAATGGATTTGAGTTAATGATTGGAAAAATTCTTTTTCTTTATGTTTATTTACGTAGAAAATTGAAAAGATGCTAGTTGACCTGAATTTACACCAGTATCATAAATTGACTTAGTGTGGATACCAACAGTAACCATTTATATGATTAGATACCATATGAATCGGCTCGATAAAAACCTTGTATTGCTTCTTCGATTTCTCGATAAAAAGAAATATGACCAATAGTGGTTCGAATGTATATACAACAAATTTCTTTTTTTTAAACTTCTTATTACTAAATAATCCCCATAAATCTCATAATAGGTACCAAAAGATTCATAGTGAACTTCGATAGGAACTTCTCTTGAAGACATAATGCATTGATCTATTCGCCACCGGAGCCAAAAAGGACTATCGAAATTTATTATTTTCTGTCTATAAGCTCCAATTGCATCATAGGAATTGCAAAAAAAGGGTTTTTTTTTCATATACTTCAAGTTATTATTGCTAATTTTTTCATTGTTAGAATTTCAGGAATTAAATGAATTATACCTGTTTGCACAAATACCTCGACGATTTCCGCTAGTTAATACGTAAAGTCCAATAAGCATATCTTGAGTTGGTACACAAATGGGATCCCCAAGAGCCAAAGACAAGAGATTCGTATGAGAAAACATAAGTAAACGAGCTTCTGCTTGAGCCTCCAAAGATAAAGGCACATGAACAACCATTTGATCCCCATCAAAGTCTGCATTGAATCTCTTACACACCAATGGATGCAAACAAATAGCACGTCCTTCGACTAAAATGGGTTGAAATGCCTGTATGCCCAATCTATGCAAAGTAGGCGCTCTATTCAGCAATACTGGATGCCCCCGCATAACTTCTTGAAGTATTTCCCATATAATGGGTTCTTTTTCTCGATTTTTCCTCTTAGCAACTCCTATGTTCGAAGCAAAATGGTTTTGAACTAAACCACAAATTAGAAACATTTGAAATAGCTCTATTGTTATTTCGCGGGGCAATTCACATCGATGTAATGAAAGTGATAGACCCACGACAATAACAGAACTCCCCGAATAATCAACTCGTTTTCCAAGAAGAGTCTCTCGAAATCTTCCCTCTTTGCCCTCAATTATATCGGAAAACAATTTGTAAACGTTATTATTACCGTCCCTCATGGGTTGTCCGCGGATTCCATTATCAAGAAATGTATGTACGGCTTCTTGTACCAATTTTTCTTGACACATTACTAATTCCTCTGGTGTAGATCTACTTGTTGTTAATAGATCAGTAAGAGTATTGTTCCGATAGATAACTCTTCTATAGAGTTCATTAATATCCGAACTCATTAGTTTACCGCCATCTATTTGAATAATTGGTCTCAATTAAGGAGGAAGCACTGGTAAGATACATAATACCATCCATTCTGGTTCTATATTTGTTCGGATAAAATGCTTAGCTAATTCCATGCGTTGAACCAAAAAATTCTTTCTTCTTCCAACTTTTTGATCTTCCCATTCATTTCCATTGTCAGTGGACCCCTCTTCTCTTAATACCATCCATTTCTCAATATTTGTAGATAACAATCATTAATATCATTCATAACATAATCGAATTAATGATCAAACGCATAACACAACATGTTGTCCAACCATCAGTGGGACTAAAGAGGTGTCTGATACGCACTATGGCACAAGACTACACTCAAGGGAGTGAAATAAAACAATTTTGTCCAGGAGAGCGCGCTAAGTGGAGCCTCCCGCGCTAAGCACACTCTGCAGAATATTTAATTTTTCAAACTTCAGTAAGGCATGCTAAGCACGACCACGCGCGCTAAGTGCCGTCTACGAAGTCCCCAATTTCAACTATCAGGAGGGCGCGCTAAGCGCGGTCTGCAAAATGCAGAAAATTCAGAACATCATCAGTTCTGTTTTTTTATATTCCAAAGCCCAATTCTCACTTCAATTTACATGTCCAAAGTATACAACACCAATTTTCAGATTAGAAACATGTTATTCAACATTAAAAGTCAACATGTATTCATAATTTTCTCAACCTAACCCTTAACCCCAAATCAAGTCAAAATCCCAAATCTACCCCAAGTTCTAACTATGGAACTCACCTAGCAATAATAAAGGTTTGGATGATGTTCTTGGTGCCATTGAATCCTCATCATGCTCAAACTTCTACCTTCATGATCATCAAATCCGTAGCCACACTTTGACCCATTTTCAGCTTGGAACTTCCAACTTCAAACAAACTTTTCTCCTTCAACATAGAAGCTATGATCATGAAATTAAACATTAAAATGAAGTGAATTACATGTAGTTCTAGAACATCAAGAATTACCTGAAACGGAGCTACGAGTAAGAAGTTATAACTTGATGATTGAAGGTTGTTCAAAGAACTCGTACAACAAAAATAAGCTTTAGACCCCTAACTTCAAATGTGATTATCTCTCTGATCACAAGCATTCAGAAGACAAATCTTATATTTACGTTGTATAGAATTTTGTGAGCTTTTCGAAAAATCCGGAACCATCACAATTGAAGTTGCAAGCTAAGAGATATAGCCTGATTTGTGGAGAATGTTCCATGAATACGAAAATGAGTTTTCAAATGAGAGACATGACTTATTCTCTTTCTCTCACTAATAAAATCTGATTTTGTTTTACCAATCCACCAAACATGCCCTTAAGTTACATGTAAAAGATGTTCATTGACCAATTCTCTCTTCAACCATATTAATATTACTAATTTTCTATTAAGTTCATTACCAACTAATTTCGTTTGATGCAATTGTACACATTCTCACACTTAGTGATTTAATACGGGGATGTTACATCAGATGTTTGACAGAGTTCTTGAGTCATTCCAAGAAAATCTAAGAATTTTCCACAAACCTACCAAGACACCTTTTGATGTGGCAGATACACTAAAGAATCAGAACAACTCATAGCTCCAACACAAAAATACCAAGAGCTATTAAATATCCATTATTAGAAATAAATTGGGAATTTGACAGTGATGGAGAAGCATAAGATTGGAGAGGAGAGTTTTTTGTTATAAGAAACAAAGGAAAATGTGGTGACGGAGGAGTGCCTATTGTATTAATAAATAAATTTTGACGGGAAGGTAGATTTTTCTTAACTCCACATGGTATACATTTACATAGCATACCTATGAGGCATAATGAGACAATAATAAGTCTAACCATCTTGACCTTCCAAAAAAAAATAATTAAAAAATAAAATGTAATGTAAGATCCAATTAAAGATGAAAAACAAGGCTAACTAATTATATCAAATGATTTATATTGAAAAGAGAGGAAGATACATACAGAATGTTGGAAATTTATGAAAATGAGTGATAAAAGGAAATAAGAGTAAGAGTTTTGATTTTTGAGAAATAAGAAGGTTTGGTGATTTTGAGATTAAGAGTTTAAGATTTTAAGTTTGAGAAGCTCTCTTATAGTTTATAGATATAGATCTACCGAAGTTCAAGGTGAGTCGGGCTTGGAATTTAGGCCTCACACTTTCTCTTTTTAATTAATTTATATATTATTAAGTCATTTATATATTTTTAAAAATTATAGAAAAAATATTTTTTTTTGCCTTTTACACTCTAGTTCATAGACGATTACGGCCCTATAAGTCCCGAAATCATGAACTGAACTATGAATACTGATCAAGTATTCTTCATGTCAGAAAACAAATTTTATATTTTCCAAATGTTGTTCTTTGCGGTTACAACTGGAACCCAAGTGCTTGGTGAAAAAATTATTCTTTTAATATATTTTATATTTTGAAAATAAAAAACTTTCTAAACTAATTAGTATAATTAATTCTTTATTCTATTTATGACAAAACTAAATTATTTTGAAAGTTTTATTTCTTGAAAAAAATCATTTAATTAATAAGTATTATTTATTTCTTTCTAAAGAAAATATATATCTTTGAATTTGCTTTGTATATAAAAAAATCAATTTTTTAATAAAATATTATAAAATTTTTATTATATTTAAAAAGTTAGACTATATCTTATGCTAAACATTGAAATGAAATCAAATATTTAATTAATTTGTATTTGTTGACTGTTTGTTTCAATAAATTTAAGTTTGACTATAAGTATGTTCGATATTTTGCAAATAAATAAATTTTTTATTCAATTGTTTATTTCAATTATTATTTTATTTCCAAAAAACTAGATTATTTTCTAGGTTAAATATATTAAAAACGAAATAAAAATTTAAACCAATAACTTATAACCAATTAAGATACTTAATTATTGATACTTTTTTTTAAAAAGAGATATTATTTCGTCTTTTTTTGTATATTGAAAGTGCAATCAATTTTTTTAATCTATTAGTATTATATTTAAAGATATTTTTTCTTTTTAAAAATATTTAACTAAAACATATTTCTCTTAACAAGTGCATTTTTGTTATTTCACCAATGAATTAATTAAATGGTTAAGATTTTCGATTTAAAAAGTTTGAGAAAAATATAGATTAAAAAGGTCTGATCAGATTTTGGGAGAAATATAAATTGATATGATCCAAAATATATACTTACTTAATTAGAATTGATAAGAAATAGAATAATCAGTATATACCATCCAAATTATTAACCATCCTAATTTGCGACAAATATCAAACTTGCCAAAACAATAAGTCTGCTTCATTTTTTTGTATATAATATATTCTTACGGTTGCAATTGTTGCATTAGACTGAATGAGTAAAAAAATATGTTTACTTCTGTAATAGAGAGATTTGATTTTAATATAATTAATTTAAATTAATTGTGAATTGATTTATATATGAATATATTAAAATAAAATGGATTAGGTCTAACTTATAGTGTTAAGTTTGTTTAATTCAAATTAATTTTAATTTTATAATTAAAAAGATATAATTTAATATGTATATTTATAACTAATTTTATTTTCAGTTTAGGTCCTTATTTAAATTTTTGTTGGTAAAATATTTTAAGAATTATTTTCTTTAATTTAAAAAATTACTTTGAACAACAGCGTAGAGAATTATGTTCTTATATAATTAATTTATGTTAATTTAATTATTTATTCCTTTAATGTTCTTATTTTAATTTTTCTTAGGTGATTAATTTCTTTTCTTATAATTATAAAAATAAAAATAATGACTAAAATTACTATATAGTAACATTAAATAATATTATATCATATGATAAATATTTATAAAATAGAGGGAATCGGAAGATAGATTTGATTTCATTGTTTATGCATTTTTATAATTTGATAGAATAATGATTGAATGAATGAAATAGTTTGGAATACATTTCATTATATTCAACCGTTTTTTATCCTCTTTTTAACTACAAATAAAACATAGCCTAAGAGTCTTGAAGCATGATTACTAGTTGGTACTCTATTTATTTTTTAATGTAATTTGTAAGTGTAATAAAATGGTTAAATAAAGATAAAAATTTGTGCCATTAAACTCTAATGGTGACTAAAGAATAATACGGACAATAAATTTAGACACTAAACAAATCTCAAGGACATCGGCATAAGGACTAAAGAATAAGTAAATATAATCATTTTACCTCTAATAATAATATTGTAATTTTTATATGTAACCCAAACAATTTTATATGTACTAAACCATTCTATAAACATCGCACTTTAATCATTAAGTTATACGTAATTATCATAAACTATTAAAATGAGTTACATAAACTAATAAATTTTAATTATGCAAATATGATTGGACATTCAAAATTAAAATAAAAAAATAGGAATAGTTTATATCATATGTAATTGATACTAAATATTAAAGTATACTATATTTGAAATGTGATGGTTGACGTGGTATATAAATCCAAGAATACGAACATCCCATAGTCTAAAACAAGCTAAAACTCCATAAATAAAGACACGTGAATAACTAATCACCACTAAAATAACAAAAACACATTAGAAAAAAATCAAAGACACTCACGTCACTATTAGCTCAGATGTAACACCCACATATATATATATCTAGAATAATATGCAATAATGTTAATTATGGTACAAAAAAACATACATATTGCAAAAAAAGACAAGAATTTAATATGTATACGACACAATTCTAAAATTGAACGTGTACAATAAACTTGTCTTCTACATTGCACAGCTGAATGATAACTTCTACAAGGTCTTACTAACTTCTGTTTGTTTGTAGTCTTCAAAACTGACCATCTAGCAAATCTACCTTTATGACCTGATC